AATAACAAGGGAAGAAATAGGGTTGGCTGTTTTTATTGATTGTAATTTATAATGATCCTAGGTCTAATGTGCATCTCTTGTCAGGGTCCATTACATGAAAAAGCACTGGAGTGTATTAGCATGCTAAGACTGATAATTATCAGCTGATGATGTTGAAAATGTAATTTTGTATGGATATTTTATAGTATAGGCAGATTCTTGTGAATATTGTATTACAAATGACTTCCTTTTATTTTTAGGAACCTTTTATACAATCCTCTGTCTGTATTATGTATTATTTGTTTATTTTTTAACAATCATACATACTTAATAGGCTTCCTTTTTTGACAACTTCTTTGTGTTCTTTGGTTAATGTGTACTTTTCTAATGGAGGACGAGGGTGTTTAGCAGAGATATAGCAGGAGTTTTGGACCAACTTAAAGACATACATTGCCCTTTAGCTGATATAGTGGCAACAAACTTCTTTGAAATCTGGATGTTCTAGACCTAGATCCATCACTGGGTCAAAATTTCCGATTGCCGTGACATTTACTGAGCACATTCATGCTCCCCAGAGCCAAGAAAATGAACTGTTTCCATTTTGGACAGCTTCCTCTCGTGCCATCCTCAGGTCAGAATATCAGGTTTGTATACAGGATATCTCACATCTCACTGAGATAAGAGCTGTGAAATGTGATTATCCCAGCAGGTTGTCTGTGAATACTGTGAACACACTGTGAACCCGATATAAATCAGTTTGATTCTTTAATCTCCTAAATTGTTCATTTAACAGACAAAGCAGGTGGTGGTTTTAAAACTACACTAAATTAGTGACTGCTTTAACATCATTTTTCCAAAATTATCATCCCGTGGTAGCACATTATTTTCTTCTCTTCTCTTTTCTCTCAAACCAATTGTGTTAAAATGTGGCAGATTTGTGACAGGAGACTGAATGGCTTTCATTGCATTTTAAAGGTCACAGCTGGCGCAGTTTACAACATCACTGCAATACAAAAATCCCTTTGCCAGGATAATGTCAAATGCATCTCTGCGTCATAAGTGTCATTACATTTTCTGTCTTACCATCTGCTGTCACATCATAAATGTTATTGTAGCTGCTTACAAAACTTACAAAGGTATTAGGCAACAATAAAGATATAGCTACTGTAATGGATAACTTTTAGGTTTTGCAATTAGCTGGGTCAACAATGCAGACATCTATTTATGGCCTCGACAGTTATTTATACAGACCTGTACATGACTTTGTTTGTCTTTTGCAGACTCATGAGCACACAGAGTAAAAATATTCTCAATCTTTTATCCTAGGCATCTTTGTTCCCTCTCTGTCTGTACCTCTTTTTTGTCCTGTTGTTTTGATATGGGTCTGTGCCACTGGGACTCCACATGTTTCTCTTTTCTTGTCCTCCCAGGGAGAGAATGAGGGAACTCCTACTCAGAAGTGGGGCGTTCAGTTCTACTCATTAAAAATAATTGGTCTCTGTTCAATTAAGGCTCAGTGATGCTCCTTTGATCTAGCTGGCTCAGTGTTTTTTTTATCTGTGTCTTTTACATCCAAATCAAGTGCTCAGAGTTGGCAAAAGTATTGGATAATTGGTTCTAATGTGTTTACTTCCGTAAGTTGGGAGGGGGAAGAAAGACGAGCTGCTTGGGAGTGATTAGAAATGTTTGAATGAAATCAGGTCTGATGGTTAAAGAGACTGAAAACCTTCAAGCTTCTGCTGCAGCACCTTGTGAGAAAGTTCACTTCTTCTAGGTTGATGACAACAGATACCTTCTGTGTGATTTGATGCTTTTGGCTTCTCCTGTCTGCTGATAAGTGCTGCGAGGATCACTGCGAGCAAATCGCTGATCCTTAAGAGACATAAGACACATAAAGATCCATGCACAGTGCACACATGTACCCACACACACCATAATCCCACTCACCCAGCCGCTCGCCCACACACCCACTCACACACTTTGTATGGGTTACTCTCACACACTCTTATTGAAGAAGCTCTGCAGTATGAGCATGTTAATGTGCTGGCAGTGGTTCCTGTTACATAGTGAATCTGTTCTGTTGAATCCCAATAGCCCAGGGACAGAAAAGATACCAAGCCAAGCTTTTACTGCAGTTATGCTCCAACACTGCTACTTTAATAATTTTCTCTCTCATCCCCTTGCTCATCATCTTTGCACCTCTCTTTCCCTCCCTTCCTCTACTTTCTCACTTTCCTAATCTCTATTCCCTCACCACCTCTCTATCCAGTTTGAGACACTTCTCCTCAATCCAGCCTTCTCTTTCCCACAACCTACATCTACTCTTTTACTTTATTTGTGCGTCACCTAAAGATTCTTCTTAACTTGTCTGAGGTTAATGAGTTCATGTAAGTCTCACAAAATATACCTCACAGTTCTATATACATGCATAATACATGCATGGTGGAGATCAATGTATTTTTTAACAGAAAGGCCTTTAGGATGTGCCTTGCTGCTGAGCTACCTAAATGCATGCTCATCAGTGCAATAATATGTGATGTTACACGGTATATGGCATGCACACCAGCACACACAAGGGCATGTATCAGGAAATATGCAAAAGCAATGTATATGAATTGCACAATCACACGGAGGTGCACACACACAAGATCTTTTTTCTCATTGCAGATTGCACGACCAGACTGCAGAACGATTAAAAGGGGTGGGGAAATATGCAGTATAACAATTGAAGGAACATCAAAGACAAGATGAATGGATGTCTGTAAAGTTACGGTTTATTGCTTTGTTAGTCTACCATGAAGATCACTTGGAAACATCAAACACACTGCAGACATTTAATACATTTAAAGTCTATCTGGATTTAAAATAGAGAACAGCCTCCTCTGCTGGAGTGAAAATTATGAGGCGAAGAGAGCCCGTATAGACAGAAATACTTTGATGTGTTTGATGAATGCATGTGAGTGATCTTAGTTGATTTTAAAAAATGTAGCAGATGTCACAATCCAATACAACACTCAACAGGCCTAGTGGAGTACAGTTGCTCGTAAAGGAAGCCTGCTGAGTTTTTCAGCTCTCTGCAGAACACTTTTAACTATATCTCTTTGACAAGCAGGATAAGTAGGGGTTGGCTACAGCTTTTCCACTTTAACTGTTCATTTAACAGTCATTAAATATTCAGTGCCCACTTTATTCCGTACACCTCCTCCAGACGGTCAGGTGCGCTGTAAATAATGTAGGCACACAGGATCAAGAGGGTCAGCTATTGTTCTACTAACTGCAAGAATGAGAAGGGGCTGAGAGCTATTAAAAAGACATAAATGTTGGTACAGTTATGAGTAATTCAACGCAATATGTTGAGATTCACCACACTAAACTGTGAGTTTTACGGCTGTTACAGAGTAAGCATACTGAAATGAGCAAGACCATGGTTTTTTTTATGAATTCAACTTTTTATTTAGTGCTTTAGTGGCTATAATATTAAAGCTGTGCAGTCATCACATACATTCATACATATTTTGTGTGTTCCACTGATTTTATATTCACAGGCTAAAACAGATTAATGTGCCATAATAGCCTCTAATACAAAATAATTGAATATCCCATCAACATGTAACATATCACTGAATGCAGATGATACTACTATAAAAATAAAACAAAAAGTTTGGCACTTCAGTTAGAGTTAGCAGGATGTCCAGGATTTCCAGAAGAAGACTTTACAGCCAGCTCTGCGAGACTGAGTTGTCCTGCCATACAGTCCACGTCGATTCTTCTCCTTTTTCTCTGTGTCTGCAGGTCCTTGGAGGGTTATTCCATTTTCAGATTTGAAGAGTTTATAAAACAAGTCTACTAAGTTTTGCTTTGTTGTTGATTCCTATGGAGGAAAAGAGTGACATAATGTAAACAATAAGCAGACTGGCACAGCAAATATAAAGTTTTCCTTTATCATGTTTGTACCTCAAGGAAATGGGAATTTCTACCAAACTGTAGCCTAAATCATTTTATTGTACATTACAGAACTTTTGTTGCTCATAGCCAGAAAGAAAAATGAAAAGTTGTGCACCCTAATCTTTAATATGCAATTTCATGGAGGTGCAGCTCTGAGGATAATCAAATGATAGATACTGAGCAGGTAGCTCTGACAGAATCCAAAATGTCTCACTGAGAATAAAATTACACTTTTAACAGATCGAGATCAATAAAATGTGTGTGCACAAGCAGAGATAAACTTTATAAATTGCTAAGCTGTAGGCAGGGCAGTCTGTGGCCTGCAGTGTAATCATAGCTGGGATTTGGGGCCTGGATTCAATCACTGAAGGACATACATTTTTTAAGACAGCAGATGTTGGAACAGAAATAACATTTGGAGAAGCATATGAAGTAAAATAAAGACATCTTACCTGCCTTTCCTGTAATTTGTCAAGCCATGACAGTGAATCTTGCTGAAGTTGGAGGTCTTTCAATTCCTGCTCAGTCTCTGTGTTTTCCACAACACGTGACGCAAAACACAGAAGTGCCAAAATGCACAAGATGTGGGCCATCCTTAGTTGAGAAATCTTGCTTGTGTGCTTCTTGTTGAAAGAATTCTTCTTGGCAACCCAACATCCACTGCTTTTGTGCACCTTAACTGTACAGCACAGTGACACATTTTTAAAGCGGTACTTAGGCCCTAAAATGGAGGAGGAGCGTGCAGGTTATTTGCTAAAGACAATTCTCAATTTTGTGTTTGCCCCCATCAATGCACTGAAGCATGTTCTATGTAATTTACAGCAGTCATTAGGAGAGAGACAAAGGGTCTAAATAAGGACATTTTTACCATCCTGGTCTTTCCTGGTGTCATCATTCACATAAACACACTGTAATCTGGTTGTATAACTCAAGGTCATCCTGATGCTGTCACTGGCATAACTTGTACACGTAAAAGATCTCCTCTGCCTCCTTGTTTAAAAGCAAATTTCTGTAAGCAAAGTGTGATGTGCACTCATGTAAAATAAAACATTAATGACGCTGACATGGGGGAAACAATGATTTCATTAACCCTGCTGTGCCATAAAGTTGAATCAACGGGCAGCGCAGAGACACTGAGATACCCAGAGGCCATAAAGGTCAACTTATCATTTGTTACACCCTTGTGAGCTTGTTCTGGGCATCTCCTTAATGAGATTTCTGCTCCGTTTAACTTCACAGTTCTAGTGCATCTGAATTAAGGCATATTTGTCACAGGCTATGATGATTTTGTAATGGTACAAGCTGCAAATATGCAACTGCGTTACATAGACAATTTAGTTACCCATCCTTTTAAAAGCATCATCTTTTAATGTTTGAGGGTTAATGGATTGCAATGTTTTTAATTCAAATTAATGTAAATGGGTCAAAACAGTAAACCAGTAAATTTAATTTGAAGGGAAATTTACATGTTCTCTATTTCGCCTCCTGTTACCACCAACAGTGTAGTGTTGGAGTGTTGGAACAACAAAAATTACACTTTATGGTTCAGTCCAGGTAAGAAGATCAGTCGTAGGAAAATATTATCTTTATTCTTTGCAAGAATACAATTAAATGTGGGCAAACTCTCATATTGATTAGCACTAGGTAAAGTCTTTCTATGAAGGTGCAGCTTTATTCACTATAGAAAGGGAGGGGTAATTAGACTTATTGGATATTGGATAAGATCCTATCCCGTCATACCTTAAGAAACTGCAAGTGACTTTGAAATGCACATTTTCTTCCTAAGGATTTATATGGGTATAAACAAATGAATAATTAGTAAGTAACCAATGTGTGCTCGTAACCAGTGTGAGTCTGTCAGGCAAATCATCTGTAGTTTGTATGGAAGTTGCCTTATAAACCTGCAATTAAATGTTCACAATGGGAAGTTATTGATTTCACCTGGATTTTGATTTGACCATAAATCAGTTTATAATGGAAAATAAATTAGTTTCATAAATTTCGATAATATAAATTTTTTTCAAAATCATGGTCTGACACTATTATATAAGGAATTTAACCTTTAACACATGAAGCTATAACCTGTTAAAATATGAACAGATGTCTTTCTAGTCCATGTAAGACGTGTGTGGAGAAAACTAAAGGGACATGTGTCCTTCTCAAATGGGAGACAACCTTGACTTGCTTCAACCTTTCAACAAATCGCCATTCTAACCCAATTAGAGAGGTGTAGAAGCCTAATATAGCTGCCTAAACAATTAGTAAGTGCACTGTCGGGAGCAGAATAATCCTGTTAAGAAGGGTACCAAGAGCACTTTACAGCAAGAGTGTTTCTATCCATGCTGACAACTGTCTGCACCAGGCCATGTAAGACGCATTTAATTCAAGGTGGCATTCAAGGAGTGGCTGCATGTTATATCAGGCCTTTCAGATGTGTTGGGACTAGAGTCCTGATGGGTGGAGGTTCTGCTCCAAAAATGTCAAAAATTAATTAGATAATCAGTGATACTTCACGGGTTTTTAATTCACACAAGAGGGTTCAGCTCGTCTTCAGCTGTTACTTGTGTTAGCTTACATAAGCATATGAAGCTGTTTGTTATTTTAGACTCCGAGCAATCGATATCTTGGAATATCTGCGTGCCAAACAGAAACAGTATTTTGAACACGGTGTTGTTTAAGAACATTATTGTGCCTTTTTGCATCTAGCTATATGGGGAGTTTGCATCTATCGATCAGTGACAGATTTGGTTGAGCAAGCTTAAATGACTGTTCCTCAGGGGCATATTACACTAATGATTTTCTGAGTGAAATGTGCAGAGAAAAATAACATGTTGCAATAAAAAAAGGAGAGGAATGAGGTTTTATATATTCATCCAGCTTTTGATAATAGCTCACAGGCAACATTAAAATACCATACAAATAATATTATTTATTATTATTATATTTCTCTTAATTTGTATTTTATTTTAATATCCTTTCCTCCAATTGAGAGATGTTATGTAAAAAATAATAATTTCACAATATATCCTCACAAGATCTTAATGTCTATTTTCTGTCTCGAAGCAGCATTTTGATTTAGAGATTAAATGGATGGAAAAAGTTACAGGCAGTATGAGTCATAAAAGGTCATCTTTCCATGCAACATTTAACATGCTGAAATTCAGAGAAATGCTTTTAGAGTGAAATGACACAATATTTGTTTGTGAAAACACAACAACGTAGCAATTCTAAAGCAAGAGTGTCACATTTACAACATGCTGCCTCAGAGGAACATGCGTGTCATTTGTTGTACCCTCTTACTCTTTGCGTCATTGAAGGACTGGACTGCACCGGTCTTCTCAGGTCACTTGGGAGAAAGCAATGTCAGTGACATCGGCACTGTATAGATGGCTTTCATCTGCCCAAACTTGGTGTATTTGTTGTAATCCAAGCAAACTTTAGATACAGGGGAATGACAACATAGAAAAGTATTGACAATTCAAAAAAGACTACGTAAAATTGGGCACAGTACTGCTATTGCTAATATGATGACTATTACTAGTGCTTTTATCACTGCTGTTACTTGCTTTTCTTGAGGCTTAAGACAAGTCACTGGAAAAATAACACACAGGTGGTACACTCCAGCCTCTGTAAGATATAATGACTCACTCAATGTTTAATTAACTTCAATGTACATTATAATCAAAGCTTATATAACAGCTGCCATAAAAGATGATTGGCAATTTGGAATAAATGTGCTAAGACTCAAACACAGATCTGCATCATGAAGGCACCAGTTTAACTGAAAGATATGCACACTATACGCTCAGACTATTTTTATCTCATATTTCTCATATTTACATATAGCATTGAAATTGTGTTTGTTGTTAAAAATTTTCCCCACGTCTGCAGACTCGACAACGGCTGATGACACTTTGTAGAGAAGGTCCCTTCACTGTCTGAGGAACCGTTTTACTGTATCAAAGAACAAAACACACACACACACACACACACACACACACACAAGCAATGTAACTTGAGTAGAGTAACTTGAGTAGAGTTTTGGATTACCACTGTATAATGGCTTAGTTTAAAGTAACATGGTTACAAGTTAGCACATCATAAAAAAAATGTCCTTTCTAAGATATGGTAAGAATTTCATTCTTGGGAAAGCTTCTGAAACAGCAGTGGGGTTATCATAGGACATACAAAACCAAGAAAAACCAATGCAAAAGAAATTCTTCTACAACTAGCATCCTATCCCTGTGGACTGTTTACACAGAAACAGTTTACCTGAACATGTTGTTGGGGTCTAGGGAGGCCAGCCAGTAGCTGTAGGAATCAGGGTAGTAGTTGCATGTTCCCCTGCCGTGACACTCAATGAAGGGGACTTGGCGAAAACTTTCCAGACATGAGCCAGGAGACACCAGGGGCTGGGAAGATCCCTCCGCACCAGCACCAGTTTGCTAGAATGGATGAAAATGACATGGAAATTGGCACATAAGAAGATCGAGGGATTTAGGAGAAAAACAACAAAAAAAGGTGATTTCTTTACCATGACAAATGAGTATCCACTCCACAGGGACTCCCAGCCTCGGGGACATTCAGGTATCAAAGTTGTCTGGCTGTGGACGGCTATAATATTGGAGGTGGTTTCACACACCGAACACCTAAACCGCACGTGCACACAGACACCCGTGTTAATATCAAGTAATTAGTGTCATTGGTAACACCTATGTTTACCCTACTATTTATGTCACAATGACTGCTGTGAAAAGGACAATTGAACCAAATGTACAGTATATTTCAATGAGCAGAACTGACTAAATTTATATTGTATTGTATTTGTTTATTAAATAAACAGCAATATAAGTTCACCTGCTGATGTATGAGGCCAGCTTGTCCCCTGTGATGGCAACCATGTTGGCAGGCATAGGCGTGTCAGTGGACAACCAGTATGAGTAGTCGTTACGAGAAGCATAGCGGCAGGTCGTTTCTGTGTCACAGAACAGGAAAGGCATGGTGGAGAAACGAGGGAGACAGCTTCCCATGGTGCCTGTGAGACAGTTTTAAGTGTTATAACAAAGACACAGTACACTGTACAGTATTTCTGTTCATGAAGGTTTCCATGCTCTTACCAAGGTCCTGACCGTGAGCTCTCTCATTTCCATTGATGAAGAGGAAGGAGTAACCAGAGTAGATGAGGCTGGTTCCTTGAGGGCAGTCAGGGACACCGATGCTCTGACTGTGTCTAGCTATCAGGAAAGTGTCAACAAAACCTGGACCACTTTTGCCTGGCAACCCTTGAGGACCCTTGTGGCCTGGGTCTCCAAGTCTGCCGTCTGGACCTAAAGAGAAAACACATCAAGTGACATCATGTCGCCGATTTTGTTGGATTTTTTTTTTTTGGGTAGAGGGTTGTACTACAGTTTTTGTCACTGCTAACTCTCACTGTTAGACTAAGAGTGTATTTATAATACAACAGGAACTGGGAGAATGTAACACAAGGTCCAGGTTTTTCCGAATAAATCCCTCACTGCCTTCCCACCATAATACACAAGCGCATTTGATGTAACGCACAACCCAGCCAGAGGTACTGCAGCTGATAGTTGAA